TAAGAGGCGACGCTATGACGCATGCGAGTAAGAAAAAAAATGCGGTTAGAGCTTAAAGATGGAAACGCGAAAACAGCGTTTCAAAATCTTCCCACTCTGAAGGCTGAATAAAAAAAAGATGGTTTACAGACCCCCGAAACGCCGGCTTCGTGTGGATGAGAGGCTGGTTTGGTGAAAAATTTGTGCGTTTAGGCCAGGGTTTGTCTTCGTGTGGACGGGGCTTTAGTCTCCATTTAAACCCAGGTTTAAAGCCTTGCAGGGCAGCCTAAAGCCCACTGCCAACATTAAGACAGAAAAAAGAAAGAAAGAACGCTCTTTTCAGGTGTTTGAAAAAATATGGGAAACTGAACGATTGTTGTTCTGTACTTAAAAAAAAAGCAATTTAGATTTTAAAATGGAAAAATGGTTTTTTTTTTATTATTTAAAAGGTCAATGTATAACATGGATGCATAGAAACCTCATTTTATTTCAGTGTTAAATTCTGTTTAAAGTAACAGATTATAATTTAAACTTTACTGGTTGATGATTTTCTTTAATCGGATCATTTTTAATTGGTTATCCCTGCACTAGACGTTCAGACACTCATCTAAAATGGCGTAACCTCTATATTGTGCCCTATACAGTGATTAGGACGGATGTTTGGACATAGCCACTATTTTGTGGAGCTTTTCCATCGACTTCCATTTATTTCTGCCATCTAACATGACCCTAACTATTACTGGTTCATTTCAAAGTCAAACCTAAATTCAGTTCACACCTTAGTTCTAAACATGATCCCTGACACTAAAACAGGTATTTTCCCCGTGGGGTCCAGACATCGGGCCTCACAAGGAGCAGTCTGTCCCACAATGTGCTATTTTTCCCGACAATATATTATAAACAAGAGCACACACACACATCGACACTGCAGTCACATTTAATAAATTACTTTAAAACAGTTTTGGTTGAACGTCTGGGCAGTAATTATGTTAGAAGTTTATTGAAATTCACTAAAGAGAAAACCTGTTGAGTAGCTTTTGACCCATAATGACTGTGAATGGATCTTTATTTTTGAAAACATTGTTGGGATTTTATTTCACCTTTTTAAATAAACAGTTGAGAAGCATCCTTAAATTGATGGTATGTAAACTTTTTTACCTTCTTCTTCATTTATTTGTATCGTCTGTAAATCTGCCGTTGTTCCTCATTTTAAATCAAATCTTTTTGCTTTATCAGCTCTCTATATTAATATTTGCTTCTGAGGTTCATCTTTCCTGGTCTGTTTAGGTCTGTTTAGTTTAGCATATCTATCCCATCCGTTTCATATCTGAATGAAACACTGCAAAGATGACTCAGAAGTGTCGGCTTCAGTGACTCATTACTGGTAAAAAACAACCAGAGTCTGCAGCTCTTGGCTTCGCTCGCTCCTCCCTTTGTGTTATCCATCAGTTTGCTTCTGAGGATTATTATTCCCCTCCCCGGATTACAAGCAGGACTCCACCACCTGTTGTGGGAGCCAGTGCGATGATCTGGTAATGGGTTTATTTCTGGCAGACGGGTAGGCTTTGTCACCACCTGCCTGAGGCCATTGTTCCAACTCAAATCATCTTTCTGCAAATCAAACACCTTGAAATGAGCGCTGCTCTGACTGGAGACCGACACCAAAGATCCACTTACTGCTGCCCACCACCATGCATGTGGTATGCTGGTGAAGTTGGTCTGCGGCATGTCGTGCTCCACGGTGAACACCATGGCGGAGAAGCTGAAGATGCCCATGGCGATGAAGAGGAAGAGGCAGCCCACTTGTTGGTAGCACTGCCGCAGGGTGAAGCCAAACGCCCTCAGGCCGGTGGAGTGGCGAGCCAGCTTCAGGATTCGGAAGATCCGCATCAGCCTCATGATCCTCAACACCTGCCCCAGCTTGCCCACCTGCCCCACCGCCTTGATGTCAGCCTCGTGCTTCATGTAGTTTTCCTCGCTGTCGAAGAACTCCAGGATGCCCTGCAGGTACTGAGGCAGGATGGCGATGAGGTCCACGGTGTTGAGGACGCTTCGACTGAAGGCCCTGAGGTCAGGGGTGGATATGAGGCGCAGCACGTACTCCATGGTGAAGAAAGCGATGCATATGGACTCTACGTATTCACAGTAAGTCTTGCCGCTCAGGTGGCCCGCGTGCGTTTTGTACTGCATCTCCTCGACCGTGTTGAGGGTCATGGCCACCAGGGAGATCAGGACAAAAAGGCTGGAGGCCACCGCCATTATCTTCGCCTTGACGGAGGAAAAGGGCTTCTCCATCAGGTTCCAGATGGCTCGACGAGTCTGACCCAGAAACATGTCATGGAACAGCTCCTCATTCTCCTCTATCTCCACCTCGGCCTCCAGTTCCCTCTGGATCTTCAGCTGGTCGTTCAGCTCGTCCTGCCTCTCCTCGAAGGAGATGCGGCAGCAGCGGTTGGTGTTTTTGATCCTCACGCCCCAGTAGTTGATCTCCTCCAGGAAGTTGCGGGGACACAGCTCATCCTTGATCCACAGCACGCCCGTCCTGTAGAAGTTGAAGATGCTGTGGAACACCTCTGGGTCCCGGTCGAAGAAGTACTCGTTGCTGGTCACGATGTAGTCGTCGCACAAGTCCAGCTTCATGTTGTGATCCGTGTAGGTGGCCAGGCGTCCTATCCTGGTCTTGGGGTACTTTGCTGCTATCTTGTATGCGATCTGATAGGGCTTCCCTCCTACATTGATGTTGATCACGTAATTCTTCTTGGAAGGGGAGATCTGCCTGGAGAAGTTGAGCGGGCCACCATCGTCCTCCTCATCCTCATACTCAGCATATATGTCATAGATGTCCCGGCTCAGTTCTTGCATGGAGTTCCATGTCTTCACGCAGCTCTCCTTGGCGAGCGGGTAAACGGTCTCAGATGGTCTTCGATTGGCGTCCGAGTCCGTGACTTTGTAGTTTGGGAAGAGGCTCTGCCTCCTGTTCCATAGGTTTCCTACCCTCTTGGTGCTCCCCATGATAAGCAGCGTCCTCCACAGCAGACGGCGGACTCTGACTGAGCCTCCAGCGTTATGGCTAATACCCCTTCAGCTAAGCATGCGGGGCTGGAGCAGGATGCGTCGTGTCCCCGTTAATGTTGCTGACTGAGAGGATCCGCATACTTACAGGCTATTATCCTCTGCTGAGCTGCCCTGCTGACATTAAACTCGTTGTGACCAACAGGCCGTGATTAACAACTTGTTTAAAATGTTTTACTGTCTTATATTAGATGGCTTAAAGCCATTTTGGTTTTTGTATAATAATAAAAGTTTAAACTGTTTATTCTTCCAGTTTTTATAAGGACATGGTGACAGATGACACTTTAACCTTTTTTTTACTTCTATTTTTTATTTTCAAAAGTTACATATAATATAAAACAGAAGAAATTACAGAGAACGGGTCAATTCAATCTATTCAGTTTATTTCTATAGCTCCAATTCACATCATGTCATCTCAGGTCACTTTCCAGT